CAACTGGCAGGTGAACCAATGGATTTGTGGTTAGTAAGAATGTTGGATCAAGGAGCTGCCCAGGTGCAGATTGATGCAGGAGACGGAATGTCATTTGCTGGACTGTCGACTGATTCCACAGTGAACACAAACTTCAGACAAGAAGTGAGAGCAATGGGAGAGGGGGAAAAAACATTATTTGATGCATATGCTGAGGCAGTAAGATTGAACTATCCCAGCTTAACAGATTGGCCTCCGCTGCAAGGAGGTTGGGTAACGCTAAAAGAATGTGCACAGAGGTTGATCAGGCTGAGTCTTAGGGATGCTGTGGTGTTAGAAATGGGAACAGATTATCTGGGACTGGCGGTGACAAAAAACATCAGAGATCAGTTAATTCGGTCTGCTCCCTCTTATTATCGATCTGCGTTGTTAGCTGTATTAATGGGGGCAGGAGAGGTGTCTGTTTCTGACATGCGTGCTCGCATCTTGGAGCTAGGGACTCTGGGAGAATGGGGTCCAGGGCGTGCGGAGCCTAGGGTGGAACAGCGAGAAAGAATGTACAAACCTATGGCCCGTGGGCCGAGAAGGGATAATGGAGGCAATGCTTCGGGACCTCCTCGTGTTGCATACTGGAAAGCTTTGTTGCAAGCGGGAGTTCCCCGAGAGGACATTGATGGTCTGCCAACTGATGAGCTGAGGGCGCGGTGTCAGAAAAAGGGGTTGAAAGTGCATTGTGCTGGTTTTGACATGTCTATTCTCACACAGGCATTTAGGAATGTGCTTCAGTCAGTATCAGCCCCTCCAGCACCCATTCAAAGACCAGCTGCAGAGTTTTATAATGAGCAGTTTGACAGAAGAGGGACACAGGCAGAGAACAATGAGTCATCAGAGGAGGAAGTGCAGATAAGAGCAGTGAGACAGAAAAAGTCAAACAAGAAAAATGACAGGACAACCAAAATTTACCCAGACTTGTCTGACCTGATGAGTTGGGATTAGGAATCAGGCCAAGCCCCGGAAATAAGAGTAATTAACTGGTCAATAAATGATATCAGACCACATGTTGAGTTAGAAATTTATTGGAGGAACAAAAATGTTCAGAAAGTGATGGCTCTCTTAGATACTGGGGCGGAGGCCACACTCATTCATGGCAACCCTGATAAAATCAAGGGGCCAGTGGTTCCCCTCTCAGGCTTGGGAGGGAATGTGATTTTTGGAAAAAAATTGACGATACCTTTGAAAATTGGTAGAATGCCAATCAGGAAGTTTCAAGTTTTGGTGACTCCAGTGAAGGAGTGGATTTTAGGAATGGATGTGTTGGCTGGAATGACTTTACATTTACAACAGGGGCGTTTTGAGTTTGGAATAGAGCGACCCCTTCAGGTCAAAGCTGTATTGGTGGGCAAAGTGAAAATGCCTCCTTTCCCCATTCCAATAGCAGCACAGATGGTGAGCATGAAGCAATATCGTATCCCTGGTGGACATGATGAAGTTACTGCCACAATTAAAGAGTATGTTGATGCAGGGGTGCTAAAAACATGTACAACTGCTTGGAACAATCCAATCTGGCCTGTTAGGAAATCAGATGGGTCCTGGAGAATGACAGTTGACTACAGGCAGTTGAACAAACACACAACTCCTCTCACATCAGCAGTTCCTGACACAGTAACCATCATTGAAAGAGTGCAACATCACAAAGGAACCTGGTATGGCGTGATTGATCTTGCTAACGCCTTCTTTACCATTCCAATCCCTGAGAATCGAATGGAGCAGTTTGCATTCACTTGGGAGGGTAGACAATACACTTTCACCCGCCTA